ATAATAGCTCCTGCTTCCCAGGATTACGAGGATTAAATGAGATACTATTTGTAAAGCACTTAGCACAGTGTCTGGCACACAATAGGTACTTAAATAATAAATAAATAACTGCTTGTTGCTGTCCTTTTAATTACAGTTTATTGTTTTTATGGACCTACCTTTGCCACATATTTTTACCAGCATATACCTACATTATGCCCTTAATTTAGAAAATTTGGAAGGAAAAAAAATTCCTCATGTCTTCAGAAGGGCATCAAATTTGGGAAAATCTGACTAGTACTCAGAGGATAAGAAGAAAGTAGAGAAATGTAGTGACTTAATGGTAAAGTAGAATTAAAGGAGAAAGGACAATGACTATTTGCTAAGCTGAGTTAGAAACATGGTTTTGTCTGTCCTTAAGAACAAAAACAAAACCAAAACAATGCTAGTAATCTGAATTATGAGGAGCAGAGCAGAGAAAAACCTATTTCATTTGGAAATAAATTCTGTATTAAAGTACTGGGCATAATTCTGGATTCTTTTATTGTAGAAAAGACATGAAAAATTAGAGAAAAGCAAGGAAAGCACTGTTCAATGCTATTGTACTATTAAATTGACATGGAAAATCTTTAAAAATTACACAAGAGGCTGGTACAAGATCCTATATAGAAAAGTCTAAACTAGGGGCAGTGGAGAGTTGTAGTGGAGGGAGGGTCAGCCTTGGAACCAGGATACACTCTCTAGCTTTGTGACTATGGACAAGTCCCTTTATCTTTTAGCGTCCAAGGCAAATGGTTAAGGTTAGATAAGAAACCAGCTGCTGATCTGTAGGGGAGGGAGTTTCTACACCAGGAATCTTTCACACAGACAAAAATTATAGGTGCTAGGCCTCTTCTCTATCAGGAAAAAAAAAAAAGGAATTAAAACAGGTTAGCCTGAAAAGAGAATCCTAAGTGTGCTTCCTCTCATAGGATCATAATGGTATTTTTCAAGTATGCTGATGTGACTGTTCTAGTGGATGACCTTCATGTTTTGGTTAGTTGGATACTTAATGATGAGTTTTTCAACATTAGCCTTTTCTCCTATGTGGATCACCCAAAAAGTGGGTGCCGAGTGAATGCAAACTCATTTTAGTATTAGCCTAAGCAAAATGTAATTATGACAGTAAATTTGTAGTAGCCTCAAATCACTTGGTATGTTATTTATTTATTTATTTGCTTTTTGGGGAGGCAGTTGGGGTTAAGTGACTGGCCCAAGGTCACACAGCTAGTAAGTTTCAAGTGTCTGAGGCTCATTTGAACTCAGGTCCTCCTACTCCAAGGCTGGAGCTCTATCCACTGCGCCACTTAGCTGCCCCTGATGTGTTCTTTAACTAAATATAAGTACATTTTAAATTATCCACTCTTTTGTGTTATTAGTGCTGCAGCTCTTCTCCACTAGCATAGCTAACTGAAAGTTGGCTATTCTAAAAAGGAAGGTGATGCTAAGTTTCCATTTCTATTAAAGAAAGGAAAAAATGGACTTAAATTGCAGCAAGAAATATATAGATTAGACTCACAATAGAGGTACATACTGGGATGGATTACCAAAGAAGGTTGTAAAGTCTAGGTTAAAGCTAATATAAAATTCTGCGGTAGGAGAGACAATATATATCCCCCCTCTCCTCTAATTCTGTATTCCTTTTGGCTGCAGAATAAAAATACAGACTCTTGTGTTTGGCAATTAAAACTATCCAGACCAACTTCACATTGCTTCCTTTTATATAGTCTGCTCCAGCCACACTCGCCTCTTTGTTGCTCCCTATAGACAACATGCTATCTCCGGCTCAAGTCATTTTACCTTCTTGGAATGGTACCCCTCCTAATTTCTGCTTCTTGGAATCCCTACCTTCTTTTAAGTCATAGCTCAGTGCCATGGTCTTTTCTGATTTCTCCAGCTGTTAGTACTCTTCCAAAATTACTTTGTATTTACTTGCCTACATTTTGTATTAACTTTTCTAGGTATATGTAGAAATACAGCATACATATCTAGCAAAATATAATTTCCTTAAGGCCAAATGTTTAATTTTGTCTTTGTATCTCCAGTGCCTAGCACAATGCCTGGTACAGAACAGGCAATTAAGAAATGCTTGGTGAATTGAATTCAAGGAGGAAACACACCAAGTACAATCTGCTTGCGGAGATTAGAAGAGAGTAAATTTTGGTTATAAGAAAACTTGTTGGGGCAGCTAGGTGGTGCAGTGTATATAGCACCAGCCCTGAAGTCAGGAGGACCCGAGTTCAAATGTGACCTCAGACCAAACACTTGACACTTACTAGCTGTGTGAACCCGGGCAAGTCATTTAACCCCAATTGCTGAAAGAAAAAGAAAAGAAAACTTGTCAGGTCTTATAAAAAGGAACATGAAAGAGAATGAAAAAATCATCATGATCTTGGAGAATAAAGACTATTTAGATCATCAGAAATATTCAAATGTGTAAGGAAATAACAGATTCAGGGGAAGAAACGGCCAGGAGAGTAAAGCATAGGATGTAAGAAAACAATTTCACCTACCTTATTTTTAAGTATTTGCCATGGTCAGGAAAAGTAAAAAAATATCTTTTATGATAAAAACAAATCCATGGGATAGCCTTTAATAAAATCCCTTTCAGTTATACAATTAAATTCATTATCTTCTCATACATGATATGTTTGAAAATGGAACCCAATTTAATGTATAAAATGTAGTCATTTTATGGAAATAAATTTTCTTGAAAGGCAAAAGTTTTCTTCTCTCTAGCATTAGTGGGAGAGCCTTGAGTTTCTTGGCTATGATTTCCTGATAAACAGGCTCAGACTTCTGACCTCTGAATCTGTTCCACATATTTTTTTGAAGAAAGATAAAGAGGGGAATAATTGATGCATTTATTTCGCAGCTCAAACATAAAAGAGCATTAAAAAACAAAAGGGGTTCTTTTAACTAGTATAGAAACTCTTTTGTTGTATTAAACATGGAATGGTCTGAAATTCAAACACTTTTTGGGAAAAGGCCCAAGATAACATTAACTGAAGAAACTGATATGCAAATATCTAGATATCACTAAATCACTGAAGTTGCACATGTATGTGCAAACACTGATTCCAATGAGCATGTAGGACACATACATGGAGACTTGGGCAGGGGACCAAAGAAGCAAGCAACTTTTCTGCCAAGGGCTTGTGAGTACGCATAGTTAGCACTAGAAACTGGACTGGATATTTGCTAGGCAAGATGAAAAGCTGCACTGTCTTGTATGCTGTCCTTGGCATGGGAGCTGTGACACATTAAGAAAATAATAAGAAAGTTCTACCATAAGAGGTGGCATTGTATGCTTTTAGACATACTACTCATAATACACTAAATGGATTAAGAGAAACCGCAGTCTCCTTTAGTTATAATTCATATTCACAGTTCCTGCATACATCAATGCTAATTTTGAAGTAAACAATGGATTTGTAAAGTGTTAGTCACAGGTCTTTGTGGTCAAAGGGGTTTTATAGATGTGCCAATCAATTTCTATTTTGAACGAATGGAACTGGATTAAAGCCAAGGATTTCAGTAATCGTGTCTTTAGGGATTTTATCACCTCCCAAGAAACCAGCTAAAGTAAAGCTCTTATCAGAAAAATCTTGATAGACCAAGGATGAGGTTAAACTGCAAAACAATCACGCAGGAACAGGGATGTTAGTGTTATGCAAAGACCGTAAGAGGGTTGTTTGTCTCATGACCTAGGCACTGGAAGAGGTTTCCAGAGTCACCTAGTCCAACCTATACCGGACAAAGAATCCTCTTCATATCATAAGAGATGAGTGTCAAGTCTTAGTCTGAAGACTTCAAGTGAAGGGGAGCCCACTTTCCTTTAAGGTAGTCTGTTAATGCACTTAGATAACTCTAATTGTTTGGAATTATTTCTTTACATCGAGCCCCATCAGTCCCCCGAAACTTCTGCCTATCACCGTAGTCCCATTCCTCTTCTCTGAGGCCAAACTGACGAAATCTAACCCCTCTCCCGTATGACAGCACTTGAAATATTCAAACATAGCAAAATCACCCCGCTCAAATCTGACTTGTTCTCTTAGACTAAATATATTATGAACATTCCCTTCAACTCCTTCTCATATACCTTTACGAGGTCCCTCACTATTCTGGTGACCCTCCTGTGCATGTTATCCAACTCCTAAGTAACTTTCCTAAAACTGCGCTCAGAAGTTAATTCAGTACTCCAGTAGTGGTCTGGTGGGAAAAGAACACAGAAGGACTACTTCCTACTATGGTCTGGACCCCAGGCTTCTCCTAATACAGCATAAAATCATATTAGTTTTTTTTTTTTTTTGCTGCTGCTCTGTTGCATTATTCAGACTGGGCTTGCAGCCCCCTTTTCCCTGCCCCCCCCCCCCCCCCCATTTTGAGCTCTATTATGATGTTATGATGTTCTATTGCAAATAAGTTTTAACAGATCCAATATAAATGTGTCTGACAATTCTCATGTCAATTATGATCACTGCCTTATGCAAAATAAACATTTTTACATGATTAAACTTGTTCCAGATCTAGATAGAATGAGAATGTAACAGGGCATACTTGTTTTAACCAGTTACCAATACCTTAAACAAAGAACCTATGTTTTTGTTAACAGCAAACAGTGTCAATCTGAGTTGAAGATAAATATGCATGAAGTCAGAGGTACTTGCTATCTCACTGATGATACTAAGGACCAATGGAAAAGCTGAATAGGAATCACAGGTTTCCAGAGAAAAGAAGGGTTTTTTGTTTCTAGAGCTTTGGGGTAACTGGAGATGAATGCAATTTCTATTGGCAATTACATTTACATGGGAGGCATAAGGTATTCATTATTTTATTTATATTTATTATCATCATGTGAGATATTTATTATTTGCATATTAAATCATTGTACATGTACTATAAGCATTTTAAAGTAAAGTTTAAGGAAAAAGGAGCCAGGGCCACTGAATGCACTGTAAAATAAACCGGGGGCATCTTACCTATCAAAGTGTGAAAAACAGCAGCTATGGCACCTGCCACCACCATGCACAGAACAGCCTTGGTCCTGTCTCGCTTACTGTTCACAAATACCAGACCCACATTTTTAAAGTCACTCATGGGGCCTGTGAAGAACTTCATCAGGGAATAGGCCAGTCCATAGCTGGCCAGCATTTCGACTGCATCCTCCTTTACAGCAGCAATACCTCGGTTCAAGGCCTGCAGGGATAGGAGGGAAGATAAAGAAAACCAAACATTAACACAACAGGTTTAGCTACATATCTTGAATTCAAAGGAAATTCAATTTCTAAAATGAAACTTAACTAGACCACGTTCTTATAGGAACAATTAGTATCATAAATTACCACCCTGTGAATCTCCATTTTAATTTGATCAATTACATTGTTTTAAGATTTCAAGAATATATGATTTCATTTGTGGGTGTTCCCTCTACTGGCTCAGATTTCAACTCCTCTTTCTAGATAGTTTTCAGCAGTTGCTAGGGCCAAAAAGTTCATCACAGGTCAGACAAAATTGTGATGAGTCTCCATGAACCTAGCTAGGCTGGTCCTCAGACAGCAGACATAATGTTCATTGTTAGGCCCATACGTGAAGCCTTTTCAATTGGTAAGATCTGAGAGAGCTTGGTTTCCAAGTTGCTGATCTGAACTGCAGAGGGAGTTTCACCCTAGGAGAATTCCTTCCACTGGTGAAAATCATGGGTTTGGTCCCATAGCCATTAAAGAGAGAAAATATCAGAGCTGAGAAACAAGCCCAAGTCTCCTAAGAGTAAACACATAATAAATGCTTGTTGACTACCAGTCTAGTGCTTGTTCTGGAACTGAGTTGACCAAGCTCTGGCTCTTGGCATGAAATTTCAAATTTGTGAAATTCAAATAGGTTTAGGAAATGTTGTCTCCACAGGGCCATCAAATTATCTCTGCGGCTGAAATGATCATTTAATTCAGTTCAAATGGCTGAAATCTAAATCCATCACCCTGTGATTTTAAAAGACACAGCCTCTGGCCTGAGGTTAAGACATCAGTGAACCATGATTCTTGTTCTGAACAACGTGTAAGTGACTGAACAGAACACTGACCTCAGCTCATGGTGATGCTCTTTTTAGGGAGTCTTTCTTTTGAAGTTGTAATCTTTTTCCCACCTATCACTCTTTCCCTATTATATACCCAATGTTTGTTATTGAAGTTCAAAAGAAAATAAATACATTCCTTTCCTTGCTGTCTATGTGAAAATTAGTGTTCTCCAGGAAATTTGGGTGGGACAGATTTAATAAAAATCAACCCGCAGTTCTTTACTACACTTACTGCTTTTTGCATGTTTAGTACCAGTTATGGATCTCTTAGAGGCAGTATGGCACAAAGTATTGGGTTCAAATCCTGCCTCTGACACATATTGGCTATGTGACCCTGGCCAAATCACCAAACCTCTCATTTCTCTAGCCAACTCTTTAAGACTATGAGTTGGAGAAAATCATTAGTGGAGGGAATGGACTTCCTCTTAAGTGTGCCAACAAATTATCCTGTAATAGAACTTCTCAGATGTAACAGAAGTATTTAATAGTTTGCTCTTGGAGAAATGTATAACAATTTATAGCCTTATTAAAGGAACTGAAACAGCCACAACGATAAGCTATTTCTACATATGCTTTATTTGGAAGGCTAACCTCGACTTTCAGAGACTGATCTTAAACACTGGACTGAGATCTAAAAATATGTGACAGATTCTGCTTGCATACCTTTAGAATACACTTTGCAATAGGTAGAGCATTTCAGAATCAAACAGCCTCTGGAGGACCGGGGCTGAATATAATCTTTGGACATTCCCCATTCTTTGGGCCATGATCTGGATTAAACAGGGGATTAATAAAAATTTGTTGAACTGAACCAAAAGGATCCAGTTTCCTTGGCAGAATATCTTCATTCACTGCATTTAATGAAGAGCACCCCCCTGACAAGAAAAAGAGCTGTATACAAGTATACCAAGGAATAAATGTTATCTATGGAGAAGTAACACTCTCCAACCTTAGAATAATCAAAGGTAAGAATTCTGGGTAGCTGTTGCAATTCACTATCATCTTCCAGACAAAGCTATTCTGGTTGCTAATGTGCTGTGTTCAATTTTTACTTCCAATTTTCTTTAATTTCCTTTAAGTAACAGCTTAAAACCTCTACTAGAAGGCTCTCATCTGTATTTCTTAAACAACACACAGTTTGTCATAAAACACTTTCCTATGTGACTGATTTCCCATTTCACCAAGATTTCTTTTATGTCTAGCTACCCTAAAATCAATCTGAAAACTCAGGAGCCCTGATGCTAACACTTGTATATAGAAGGGAAAGATTGGGAGGGTAGGATGGTTCTTGTTATGCATCAAAACATATCTATAGGACTTGAGAGCCCACCAATTTAATTTCCTGTTGTATGTCCAACCACATCTAGTTCAGAACAAAACCAACACAACTCATGAACATTTTGTTCCCAGTCTTTCACAATTCTGGCTGTAATCCTTTTATCCACTTTGTGCACATCCTCTATGGCTTACAGGCAAAATATGAAAAAATGGTATCCTATTTTTTTTCATGCTGGCTAGAGTATCAGCATGATGAGATAATTTTATAATTGCTTATAATATTGCACATGCTTATGACACCTTCATAGTAACCAAACTACGGTTTAATTCTCAGGCTGGTCATTGCTCTTCTCTCAGTTTCGGTTTTCCTCATATGTAAGATGACAAAGTTTAAATAGATCCTCTTTAAGGTCCTTTTCCATCACTAACATTCAGTCATTCAGTAATTCTTTCTTCTGGGCAAATGATTTTTTTTTTGCATGCATCCCTCACAAAGGCATTAATTGCCACAAAAGATACATGAATTATTTAGAATACTTTCAGAAAAGATATAATAGTGTATTTAAATACCATAGTGGTAGACTGTCATACTGGCAATTTGGGAGGTCTATTCCTTGACAAAATGATACAAGTCAACGATAACTAAGGATATCTACAGTTGTCTACTTTCTGTTTCTGTTGATGCTACTTGGTTTGGTTCCAAGGAGGCAAGTAGATAGGAAAGCAAGATATACATTAATAAGGCTTGATCAGTTGAATCAGTTCAATCTGAAAAAAATTCAGCTGACTCAATGACTGCAGTATCATAACTACTTAGTACAGAACTGTACTACCAGAAGAGATTCAATTAGTATCTTGTACCACAGTTTGAGGAGTTCTCCTGTATGTGAGTGCTAGGGGAAGTGGGGAGAGAGGGGGAGAGAGAAGAAGAGAGGGAGAGGGGTAGGGAGAGAGAAACAATTTTGTGGCTAAATTATATAGGCATTAAACCTGGTACCTGGGCAATATCCTAGTGGAATGCTTTATCGTAAAATGTTTATTTTAACTGCTTTTAAAATCCAAGTAATGCTTAACCTGGTAAGAAATGACTCTTAAATTTCTTCCTCACAATCCAGATACTGAAAATGATTAGACTTAATTGTTTTATAATCACAACAAATTTACAGCTCATTGTGTAACTGTAGTTAAATAAAGTAAGTGTGGGAAAATGAATTCATGTCAATTCTGATTATTGTGCATCATAATTTACATGCCTACTGCTTTATGGTTTATAAAATACTCCCTTCACATCATCTCTATAATTTAGAATCACAGGATCATAGATTCAGAGTTGTTAGGGACCTTTGGGGTCATCTAGTCCAATCACCTCATTTTACAGGTAAAGAATCTGAGGCCCAGGGAGGACAGAACAAATTCTATTACTCCCATTTTATTAGATGTGAAAATTCAGGCTCAGAGAGGTTAAGTGACTTCTTGATAGGCCCAGAAAAGTGGAATTCAGAAAGCTGACATTTAAACTCAGCTCTTGTGATCCCAGAAGGGGCCTTCTCCACTGTGGTGAGCTTTAATTGTATGGTCACCAGAGACTATGGGATACTTAATGGTTAAGTAAGCAATATTTTTGTGTAAAACTAACTAACTAGCTCTAATGGTATGGCTGTAAAGCCATATTCTGCAACAGTCTTCCTTTACTCAGTTTTTTCTGCAACAAAATGTACTATAAGAATCCTGAAAAATGAAGAGTAAGAATGGGTATGACATCTTCCACAGCTTAGAAAAATGGCATAGCTTTTTTTTTTTTTTCTATTAGTCAATCCAGAAGCCTTTATTAAGCAGCGCTGTGTGCTTGGGTCTGTGGCTATAAATACAAGAATGAAACAATCCCTCCTCTTAAGGAGCTTACATTCTTACGGGCGAGAACATAAACATAAGCATACTCAGAAGAAACATTAAAAAAAAAAAAGGTAGTTATTCAATACAAGGTAATTTAGAAGGGAAGGCCCTAGCAATGGGGTGGGTGGGGGAAATCAGCAAAGAGATACCATATGGCTGTGAACGATATAATATTCTGATCTCTGAACAATCCAAATTACAAAGAACAATAGAAAGAAGTGTGGTGGACCTGAGTTGAGTGTGACACATTAATAATAACTTGCATCTGAGAGGTGGCAAAAGAGACATTATCAAGGACAAGTATCACTGGACTGACCCATCTTTTTTCATGTACTAACAAGAAACAACACATGGTACATTGGAAACCCTGAAATGTTAATAGTAATGGAGCATTACGTGGATCTTGCAAGGAGGACTTCTGGAAAGACATGGACAAGAATCATACATGATGAAAATACGGTTACAATTTGCATTGCTAGAGAAAGTACCTACACACTTATGAATAAAAGGGTCAAAGCATCCACTTTAGGAAGCAATTAAGTAATTAGGAAGCACTGTGTTCTTCCCAATGCCACTTCTCTTCTCTGCCAAATGAACCCTGCCTCATCAAATCACCCCCATCAACACATCTCCAACATGACCTCTGACCATGCCAAGAAAACAAATGCATAGATTTTTGCTGTTTAGTCATTTTCAGTTATGTCCAACTCTGTGACCCTTTTTGTTTTTTGTTTTTTTTTGGCAAAGACACAGGAATGGTTTGCCATTTCCTTATCCAGCTCATTTTACAGATGAGGAAACTGAGGCAAAGAGGGTTAAGTGACTTGTCTGGGGTCATAGAGCTAAAAAGTGTCTGAGGCCAAATTTCGACTCGGGTCTTCCTCACTCCAAGTCCTGCACTCTATCCACTGTGCCACCGAGCTGCCCTAAGCACATCAATTATCTATTAAATAAC